GCAACTCCGCTTGCACACAAATTAGTGAACGTGTTTGTCCTTTCCATCTCTTTCCCGCACTATCTCTATCTCTCTCTCTCTCTCTCTTTCGCTGTGCGTCGTTATGTCACTGTGTGCGTAGGTGCGATTATGCTGATTTTGTATGACAGTTGCCCTGGGCATCCTTTTGCGTCACTGGCTCTGAATTTCCACACAAAAACGGGCTTATCTCAATTATCACCCGAGCATTATTAATCTGTTACATTCGCTGACATTTTCGATGAGGTTTTGACGGATTTCGGGGAGTTTTGTCATGGTTTTAGAGGAACATGCCCTTTATATTGCCTATGCAATCCAACTAATTTATGTTCCATTAGCTCCCATTTGAGTTCTGTTTTTTCTCGCATTTTTTCTCTGCACTGATTTATCGCTTATTCGGCTATCGTTTATCCATCGCGGGCCCAACGGCTCTGACCTGGGCAAACACAACCAGTGATGGATATCGCCAGGCACGTGTTTTCTTTTGTGGCCCACAAGGCGTATGCGTAATCAATTGTCAACAGGCAGGCAAAACATTCACGAGAACGGATGTTACACGGTGCAAAAATTGGAATATAAGTTTCGTAATCAATTTTATTTCAAATAGAAATGTTAAAATGTAAACTTCCTGCTGGAAATTTATCACTTTTTGTTTCTCCTCGACAAAAACATGTTTGAACATGATCCGATCAATAAGTATGACCAGATTTCTAAGTTTTTTTTTGGGGTGCACGAGAAGTATGTGGGGAGTAGTGAGACAGCCTTAAGGACGGGCTCTTCCCATGACTTTTGGCCACTGTTGATTTTGCTAATGTTGTTTGGCTTGCTGACGAAGATCAAACAGCCGCGCCAAGTGTCGAGCTGCGACCTCCTGGGGGGCAAAGGCCATGCCGAATGGGAGGGGCCGAACTCAGGGGCAGTCGTAGGGGAATGAGGGAGCAATGTGCACTCGAGATAAACGTGCGAGGCAAACCGCAAAAGTGACAAACCCAAAAAAGGCAAACAGAAAAAAAAAGGAAGAGCAAAAAAGAAAAAGAAAAACAAGGGCAAAGTTGTTTGTCTCTTTTTGCACACCTCCATCCCCATCCACATCCACTTTTTCATCCCGCAGATAAACCACTGAAAAATGCTTGCCATCGGACTAGTCGGGATTTTTGTGGATTTTGGTTTTGCCCCCCTCGAATGTGTGTGCCTTTCCTTTTTCCAGGCGGAGGAGGGGGGCTTTGCGTTCAATTTTAATGAGTTTATTGCCAAACAAGGACAAACACACGAATTTTTGCCTATTTGCAACTTGTGGACAAATCGAACAGGCCGCCAAAAGAGGTTGAAACGGATGGGGAAGGGGGTTGGAGCCCGGAAGCGTGAGGCATAAAGTCAACTAATTAAAAAATCTGCCTAAGCCAGTTGCTCTTTTTGGCAGTGTCTTTGGTCAGTTTATCGCCGACGAGGCTGAAAATTCGCAGCCCAAACAAACAGCACGAAATGGTGGGCCATCATCTCTCCCTTTACCATTTATCCTCCTTAAATTTTCCAACCCATTTCCTCGGCTTGATGGATTTCTTTTTGGGGGAAGGGAGCTTTGCTTGCTGTGAAATATTCTAATGAGGAAGAGTTTTAGCGCCAACGAATATATCACAAGGAATTTCTGTGAAATTAATCTGATATTCCTCTCATTTGAATCTTTATGCTTTAAAATATCACATTTAATTTGGCATATTCTTTTACCTTTAATTTCATTACTTTCTTAGCATTTTATTTACAATTTTAACATTTCGCTAAATGGGACAGATGGCGCCCGAGCAGGGACAATGGTTTTTTAAGCCATTTAATATTTATACCTATAATATTTTGTTCTCTGTAAAAAGTATATCATTTCGTGGACTCAAAATCGGGTTATTTAGGATAATAATTGGGACAGAGTCAAGGGCCGCGAAAGAAGGTTAAGTGTTCCAGACAGACGAATCGTGCAGACATTCAAATCAAGCCACGCAATTTCTGGGTCTTGCACTCCACTTTCCTTGGGTTATATCTGGAGGGCTATAACCCCCTTCACTTCAACTTCAATTTGCGCCCCCTTTTTTATTTGTGTTTGGCATGAAAATCACATTAGAATCTATTGCTTCACCTGCCGACCCATTTCCCTCAGCCATTTGGATTCCCGCCTTAATATGCCGCACTTACGAAGACCCCCTTTTCACCCCGCCCCTGTGTGCATTTCCTTTATGGCATTTCCAGTCTACGTATCTGTAGCTATATTCGCATTTGTATCTGTGTATCTGTATCTGTTTCTGTCCGTTTCAGGTCAGAATTCTCCTCTTCCTTCTCGGCGACCCAAAAGCTGTTTTACTTTACTCCTCACTTTTCCTGCCAACGAAACGAAATCCTTTTGCGAAAGGCTTTGCGTCTTCTCAGTAATCCGCTTTCGACATTTACCGGGTATGGAAAACTATGCCTAGGGGGGTGGGGGTGGGGTTGAAGGCGGAAAAGGCAAAAGGAGCGAAGCGAACTGTCAAGTCTCCGTTGGGGTGCCTAAATCTATTGATGGCTCCTTTACCGGGATTGGAATCGAAGCTGAAGTGGGAAGTATCCGTCGCCGTTCGTCAAATTGAAATCGAAAGAAGCCTCAATAATGTTTAAGCTTATTTTTCCTAATTGGGTCGATAGTCGAGCTTAAAATATGGCTATTATGGCTACAGAGAACAATAAGGGTATCTTCCTATAGAGTAAGTAAAGTAAATAGATTCTATCCTTAAGCATTTCTTTTTCTGCGGTCACACGTCTATCTGGCACTGGGCACACGTCGATTCTTCTATCAAAACACGTTCTGTAAAAATCAATGGGATATTTCTTATTTATTCCCTCTTCATGGGCGACTGCTGTCTCATTTGGCCAATGTCCTGCCATTTCGGACCCTTCATTCCGTCAGTGGGGCCACTTTGCAGGACTTCCTTTGGCGATGATTAACCACAGTTGTCCGGAATACTTTTCGGCCATTTCGAAATGCAGCCTGTGGTGCGTCAGTCGCATGGTCGCATTTACATGGCGATGGCAATGGCAATGGAGTGCATCAATTGTGCGTCCATTTATGTCACTCTGCCCCCCGGAATCCATTCCCTAATGAGCTCGACAGGAGGAGAGGAGGAAAGGGGGTTCTGTTAATTATCTCATGTTGTTTATGGCTGCATGTGTTGCCTTTGATGGCTGTTGTTGCTACTTCTGCTACTGCTACTTTGTTATTTGCCAAATGGCAAATGGGAGCTCAAGTTGCTGCGACAACTGTTTGTTTGGGGGGCCATTTAGGGATTTATGCTGTTGCTGCTGATGCTGATGCTGATGTGCAAGCGGTGCTTACCACCAGAAGCTATCCCCATTCGACTGCAGCTGAGGCCAGCTGGTTGATCCGATTGAAGTTGCAGTTCCCATTTCCATATTCCTCGCCCCACCCAACCTCAATTGGCCCGCCTTAATTGAAAGTGTTGCCATTGACCGCAGGCCAAAAATGGATTTCAATGCCGGGTCTCGAATTGCCAAGCACCTTCCGGACTTTCGCCCACTCCCCACCGCCCCCTGGAAATTTCTCTGTCCACTTTTCACAGTTGCACAGTGAAACAATTCAATTTCACTGAATCGGACATTTCTCGGTCACACGTGCGTGTGTGCCATTGCTCTCGAGTACGAGTACGAGTACGAGTGCTCTATTTATAGCTCATTTCCCCTGCCCCGTTTCCCTTTACCCATTTTCCATTTTCCCCTTCGCACACACTCACACACCCAGCATCCTGTTCACGTTGACAACTTAACGGAAAATTCATTTCACACTCTCGCACTTTTGCAGACCCAAAAGGTTGCCCCTTTGCCCACTGCCAACCGATAATTGTGTGGCATGCGTAAAATGCCGATTGCAGCCGGAGAATCGAGTATGCGACGCATCGAAATGTGGCGACTTCTGTTAAGGGTCCCGCTGAGAATATCTCGAGTGAGAGTTAACCAAGAGTTAACCAAGTGGATCTGGCATCAATAATGAATCTTAAAAACCCATTTAAAAACTTTATCCTCGTAAATGATTGAAATATTAAAAAAAAACATTTATTTCGTTGTAATTTTGTTAAATAAAGTCCTTCAGCTAAACGAGTGACTGTTTTACACACTTAATAACCTAGGCTAACGACCCACATCACACAAGCGTGGAATCATTGGGTTATAAGCTGTACAAATCAAAAAAAAATAGTTCTTTTCTGCGCAAAAATTTTCAAAACTGAAATCGCGAATTTCCAAAAGAAAACAAAACCCGTTTTTTCGCTAAAACGTTGCAGTTTTTTCGCTATAACAAAGCAAATACTGATTCAAAGTATGGATTGTCATACCTTTCTGAACTCGTTATTAAATTTCCTAATGATTGGCATTTAAACCTTGCCAATTTATTCATTTTTAATTTTTCGCAAAAAATCATGGGGTACCCCCTTATAAAAAAATTAAAAATTGGCGAAAATTTTATTTTTCCAAAATCACACGGAAAGTTTTATGGATTTATTGCAAATTTTGTTATCTGTTCAAAACAGTATGCATTTTTGGTGTAGGACCATTTTTGGCCAAGTTACAGCAAAAAAACCAAACGAAAAAATTCAAATTTTTGTCAAAAACTGAAATCTTGAATTTCCAAAAAAAACAAAACCTGATTTTTCGCTAAAACAAAAAAAATACTGATTTAAAGTATGGATTGTCAAACCTTTCTGAGCTCGTTATTAAATTTCCTATCGATTGGCATTTAAACCTGGGCATTTTATTTTTTTGACATTTTTACTCCGAAAATACAATTATTTTCAATTTCTACACACTTTTAGTCACCTTTATAGGTACTTTTCAAAAGAATCAATGATATTCGAGCATTTCGTTCGTGTTTCCATGTCATGAACCTTGACTCCTTTACTTTGAAAGTGGATCACCCCGGAATTTGTGCAGACTGAGATGTTTGGAATACTCACGCTGCGAGTTGGAGCGCCGGATGATGTTCTCGAGGAATGTGTTCTGCGGCGCAACCAGTCCACGTCGTCCGCCAGGCATTTTGCCGCCTAAACGCTACGCGCCGCGCTGCCCAATCCTCGCCTGCTCCTGCTCCTGCCGCTCCTGCTGCTCCTCCTCTCCCGTTTTGGTAGCCCCGGTAGCCTTCCACTCCCAGTTTCAGTTTGAGTTTCAGTTGCAGTTTCACTTTCACTTCCGCTGACAGCTGGTCACCTGGACGCAGGGTTGCTCTGACAACTGACAGGTGCTGACGGCTGACAGTTGTCAGCTGATGGATAGATGGATAGTCTGGATTCTGACTCCTGGTTCCTGATTCCTGGCTCCTGGCCGCTATATCCTGGCTTCCACTGAATGCTATCGAATGGGGATCGATCTCAAGTGGTCTTGGATCTGGCTCATTCGAATTCCGCAGCGGGAAATCCGCTTTCCCGAGCGTCCGTCATTCTGATGCTGTCTCTCTCTCACTCTCTCTTTCACCCACTCTCTCTCTCACACACACACACACTCGCCAATCACTCACTCACACACATGCGGGGGAGAGAGAGAATCGCTTTGATGCTGATGACCACTTGACCATTCACACAGTCTTATCGGTTGCATATGGCACTGTGGGAAAAAAAAGAAGAAGGGATACGAGGTCATTAAAGGTCATTGGTACTTAAATATTAATCTTTTAATAAAATCTTAGGTCTATAAATAGGCTTCATATATCATAATGTTTTCTAATCCCCAATAAATGGTTTTAAAATGCCAGAGGTTGTAAAATATATGCAAATATCCATTTGAAACCATAAAAGCCAAGGCCACCTTTTAGATGGCAAACTAAACATCAGGCTGGCTTTCAAATTACACACACAACGCAATGGCTTTCATTGAAAAATATAAAATATCAGACAGACTGAAAGAGATACAAACTAAATAACATTTTGAGGGGGACTAAACTCGTTTAATCCCTGCACTTTGACGCTGCAACCAGAAACTGAGAAAGTGCCACAATAAATTGCATTCATTTAGCAGGCAATTTCACAGCTCCAGGTTCGATATTCGATACTTTAAGTAATTGTAGGCCAATCAAAATGGTGTAAAAAGCACTAAGGGCCAATTAAACGGACACAGAAGCAGAAAAAGATTAGAATTATTATTTGGTTTCGAAATTGGTTCGACGACAAATTAATGACAGCTCTCCACTCTCGATTCGGGGAATTAATTGAGGCGTGTAAGGCAAACGCATTTGTAAATTAAAGTTAAATCAATTAGGCCGAACAATTTGGATTCAAGGCCTTTTTCTTGTGGCCCGCACACACATGCCGCATGCAAATTTGCTGTCAAGTGGCATTAATAATGCAGTTTATGCAATTTAAATTTGGTAACATTAAGTATACGCAACGTGAACCCCGCACTAAAACTCAAACTACCCCTCCAACTAACCCCTCAAACATTGATTTGTGCAGTTGTGCTGAAGTTGTGCTAAATTTGCACAAGTTTCGCAATTAATTATGATATTTCGAACGGACGGGCGTACGGGGCGTATGCGTAATACGGGCATTGTTTCGGCTTATCTTCGTTCATATTATTATTGCACAATACAGATGCCATTTGAAATCTTGTTACCCGATAAGTGCCATAACTCGCACATAACTCTGAGAGAGCAGACCTTAGTTCCCCATTAATGCCATCAATTGGCCGCCTCAATTACGCAACTCGATTAGCCAATTATCAGGGCCAGCAAACTGGGGCCGCAATAAAATCCAAGGAAATCCAAGGAAATCCAAGGAGGAGCTGCCTGCCTTTCGAGTGCAGCAACAAATTGACTAATTAAAGAAGACAGCCGAACAAAGTTGGCTGTCGAGCAAAGTTGATTCACTTGTCCAACACGCACTAATTACAAAGTGCAGGAAGTTCAGAGGGGGAGGAGGAAGGTTCCCAGGAGCCAGGCTTCTGCCTGCCAGGAACCGACTCATTAGGATCGGATTGAGAGCCGAGTTAAATTGGCAGCAGGAAGGAGCAGCTGAAATATGAGGAATATGAATAGCTGGAATCAGACGAGGCCCAAACAGAGGGATTCGCAGGCTGCCAGGATGCAAGGATGTAATCATTAGCCGACGCAACAAGATGTTTGCATTCAAAGGTTAAGTCTGAAGCAGCAAGTTAAATCTTAGCAAGTTGAAATTGAAAGGGAAACATTGTTGAAAGTGACTTATAAACTAAAGATTGCAAATTATCGATATTTTCGATATTTTGACAATATATTTCAATAATACCGATGGTTTGAAGGGAAACACAAATTAAATATCAAGAAATAGCCAACTGTCGATATTTTTTCAAGCTCTACTACAAACCCATATTATAATAAAAGTTTTACCATATTTTACCATAATTTTCTTACTAAAATTGCCGTTAAACACTTGTAAATATTTTAGAGACCAGAAAACCAATCCCACATTTCTTTCCCGAAACCCTCTTTATGAGAAAATTCCATTTGCAATACAAGTTTTTCGCAATTTACTGTAATTCGCCTTTTGAAATTACCTCTAAATGCCGGGCACTGCAATTATTAAGGGGGGTTTTCGGGGTCGTGAAAGCATTTCATATTCAATTTTTCACCGAGTCAAGTCTGTCCGTTCCCCCCCCAAAAAAGTTATTTACTCAAAAGCGAACGCCACAACTGTTGCACAGTGGAAATAGACTGGCATTGGGGGTTTTTAGTGACTCTACGTTTATGGCTACAAAACCCCCTTTGACACTAAGCCCCTGTGTTTGTGATTCTGTTTCTGCTGGAACACAGGGCTGCTAGCTAGCTGAGCTCAGTAATCTTTAATTTCATTAAAATTCAGGCAACGGCAACGACAGCTTCCCTTTGTCCTGGTCGCCTTGTTGGGTCCTGAGTCCTTGTTGTTGTTGTTGGCGGACCGTGGACCATGTTGCTGCTGCTGTGCCGTAAGTGCTTATTAGAGGGCGAGAGGAGCGCTCTCAGGCATTTATGAATTTTCTGGCTTTAATGCGTGGCCCAGGAGCAAAGGGGAGCCAGTGGCCCAGTGGCCCAGTTGGAGGAGGAAGAGGGTCAGCTGATGGAAACTTTGCCAACAATACTGCCTCCCTCCTCTTCCTTCAAGCCGTCTCGTTTTACACCCTTCATTGGCTGGCTCATCCTGTCCCGGGAAGCTCCTCTGCGGCTCCTTCGCATCCCTACAATGCATAAAATTAACTGCAACTTGCAACTTTCAGCTCCGTGTTTGCCGCAGGGATAATGGACGCCAATTCATGGCTGATCCTCCGTCGGGGGGCATCTTCTTTTGAAGAGCTAATGAACCGAAGATTATGATGCAAGTACGGAGGCAATCAATAACTAAGCTGCAACTTCCGGGAGGGTTTGAGATATTTAAATGGATTGAAATCTGATTAATAAGGAAGGGTTAACAATGCAAAGGATGGGGAAATTATCATATTATAATTTTGAAATTACTTAAAATTATATTTTTATATATTTTGAAACCGGAAGTATGATTTATAAGAGATTTATTAGAATTACTAAATAATTTAAACACTTTTAGTGACCACAAAGGAATCGATTTATTTACACAGAAGACAACTAATCAACACTGCACAACTGATTGATCCCCGGCAGGCAAAGACATACACTGTTGAAACGCACTGTCAATTTGAGGACCAATCGCAATTGCAAATCGCCCACTGACGTCACAGGCCAAAAAGGAGGTAAAATAGAAACGGAAAGTCAAGCCTCTCAGCACTCGCCTATTTATAATAAATGGAATGTCGCCACGCCCCTTAATATGCCTCATGCGCCCCTACCGCCACCCCCCTTCCCCCCTTTCCACCTCCCCAGCTGACACACTTGCCACATGCCATGGCCCCTATTTTCCACCATTTTCCACAATTTTTCCCATCCCATCCCAGCACTTGTGCACCTTGCAACACATGAAAAACGAGAGGAGTTTCGCTGGCTGTGTGGCAAGGACCAACTACAACTATTTTGGACGTATATGTGGCAGATACACTGAAAGAAAATAGCTGCGAAGAGTATTTAATAAACTAATTAATATTATAAATGATAATTTGCAATTAAAAATACTAAAAAAAAACTATTTAAACATAAAATAAGTCTAGCTATAATGAAAAACTTTTATTAAAAAACTACTATAAATACCGAAATAAAATACTAGAAATTTTAAATTAATCCTTAGTATTTTTTAGAGAGCCAAAGACAAAAAAAGTATTGAAAAAATCAATGAGATTGTTCTTTTCTTCCAGTCTGCTGACGTTTTCGTTGGCGGTGGCGACTGAGTGACCACGAGGAAGGAGCAGGACAAACGATGCCACTGGATGACGCTCACCTTGCCCCACAAAGCGCAGCAGCATCAAAGGGAGGGAAAAGCGGAAAAGCGGAGGGCCGCCAGGAGGCGACTATACATTTTAATTTGTTGCAGCTCTAAGAGTTCATCCCCTTTGGGCCAAATTCCCCTGAAGCCGCCCTCTCATTTTATGGCTCACTTCAAGTACGTCATAAAAATTAACATGAGAGGGGGTAAAGGGGATAAGGAACAAGGAGCCAAGATGGGAGCGAATCAAAAGATAACTATCAGCATTTTGTGAGTATTAAATCCAGTATTTATTTCTGGTATTTTCTGGTATATTTTGAGAACTTTTAAATACTAGAAAAGCCGGGGATTTTATACTCCTGGTTCCTGAACTTTAAGGACGACGATTCCAGCTGGTTTATATCCTTCTACCACTCACTCACTCACACTCCACCATGCATATAGAAATATTTACATGCCCCTCGCACCACCATTCATTCGGATTTAATTTCCGGTGTGCTGCGTTCGGCTTTCAAATATTAATAGAGCCCCGGCATTATTAATGAGATGGTGTCATCAAGAAAATGAAGCTGCCCCTGCGATGTGTAGCATCATCCCCCTTTATGTGCCGCATCCATTTTGGCTCACCTTTGGATACTTTACCTTACTCAGCCATTGTGGACTATTCAAAAATTTATAAACTTTTTGCCATTCGCTTTCGGTTCAGTTTCTGTCTAAGCCGAAAGCACAGAGAGAGAGAGGGACAGAGAAAGGGAATTTCTGAGCAGGTGAACTTGGTAGCAGAATCCCGGGCATTGGCTAATTACCTAGTGGGTCCAAAGCCGAGTGTTCCTGACGTTTCGTTAAATGCGTTTGTGCTCGGCCATTGCACATGCACATCCCAATTTCCATTTCCATTCCTATTTCCCATTCCCAAGGCATTCACATTCACATTTTTCCAATATTCGCTTTGACAACAAATTTTACGCTCTGTGGATAAATCATTGTTATTCCGCAAATGCAAAAAAAAAAAACAGAAGCAGGGCCCCCATCATACGATATAATAGGTTTTGTTTCGCCCCTCGGCATACATGTAAGTATATATCCCATTCGGAAAGCACAATTGTTGCAACAATTACACAAACACAAATGCAGGGGAAACCAAAACAAAGCCGCAAAACGCAGAAGGTGGGGGAAAAACGGCAAACAGAAAACAAAGCTCATGGGGACAATAGGCTCGACTGGGTGCCTGAAAGGGGGATGGGGAAATGGGGAAATGGGGGGTCTTTC